TATGCTGTATTTTTAATGGTATATTTTGATGAGCAGAAAATATTTAATTTTGATGAAGTCCTGCTGTCGAATTTTTCTTCTATGGATAGTGCTTTTCATGTCTTAAGAAATTTTTGCTTACCCTAAAGCTGCAGAGTTTCCTGGATTTCCTTTAAGAAACTATATTTAGATATGTGAACCCTCTTGATTTAATTGTGTGTATATGAGCTCGAGGGATGGTTAGATGGTGGAGTTGGGTTTATTTTTTCATAGTCTATACAATTATTCTAGCACCACTTGTTGAAAGGACTTTTCTTTTTCCATTAAATTATTTCAGTACTTTTTTTGAAAATTATTTTACTATGTATGGGTCTTTTTCTGAATATATTTAATGGATAARTAAATAAAGGGCTATCTTCAAGTTAACTATTTCTTCTTGAGTAGGTTTTGGTAACTTGTGTCTTTCAAAGAACTGATAAATTTCCACTAAGTTGCCAAATTTATTTGGATTTTAACTAATATATATGTGGATGCTGGCTAAACAGTTTAGGTGAAGCTGTTGATTTCCTGTCTGCAACTCAGTGTCAGTAGGTGGAGGCACTCAGGAACAGAAGATGAATATGACGTGGTTGAAGTAATGACAAACTGTAATCTGTGGGGATGAATAGGAGCCCAGGAGGATAGATCAGAACCCATACTGGGCTCTCTTTTTTTTCTAAGATTTCCAACTTTGACAGAGTTTCCTATAAAAGAAGCTGGGTAAATGTATACCTAGCTTGTTGAGTCAAAAAAGCTGAAGGAAGAAATACAGCAGCAGCTAAAAGAGCTGCCCCACTAACAAGGGGAAACCAATACCTATGTGACAATGTGTATCAACTGTGAGAGTTGATTCGTTTCTGCCTTGGACTTGCATGGACTACAGCTAACTTGGAAATATGCAGTAAGGAGAATTGTAGGAAATGAATGCCAGCTTTTCTGGAGCTGGCATAATACAAATCCACACACTTGACTTTCCTTTTTTAATCTATAGGATCTGTGGTAATGGCTCAGTTTTCATTCTTAATATTGGTAACACATCTCTAGTCTGTCATTCTTGCTGTCCATCATTTTTGGATTTTTAGCTCTATCTAATTTTTTTAGTAGTTGTTTTAACAATTACAATATGCAGTTTTGGGTTTTTTTGTTTGTTTTTGGTATTGGGGATTGAACCAGGGATGCTTTACCACTRAGCTATTATTATCCCTGGTCCTTTATTTTTTAATTTGAGACAGTGTCTCTCTAAGTTGCTGAGGGTCTTGCTAAGTTGCTGAGACTGGCCTCAAACTTGGGAACTTTCTGCTTCAGCCTCCCAAATCACTGGGATTATAGACGTGTGCCACCAAGTCTGGCTTGCATAGTTTTATATATTTATTTTATGCTTTTATCTTTTAAATTCTATACCTAAAATAAAAGTGGTTCATATACCACCATTATAGTATTACAGGATTCTGCCTGTCTCTATATTTATCTCTACTAGAGAACTTTGTTTTCCCCCCTACCCACCTTTTTTATTTGTTGTTGTTGCTGCCTACCATATTTTTGTGTCAACTTGAAGGACTCCCTGTAGTGTATTTCTGGAAGGCAGGCATACTAGTGATGAACTCCTTAGCTTTTGTTATCTGGGAGAGTCTGTTTCTCTTGGAAGAGCAGTTTTGCCTAGTACCATCTTTTTGGTTGGAAGTCCTCCTCCAATATTTTGAATATATGCCATGCCTTTCTACCCTGTTTTGTTTCTGTTGCAAAATCTGCTGATAATCATATGGGAACTATTTTATAGGTGGAAAAAAACACTTTCAAGGCTTTTCCTTTGACTTTTGATGGTTGATACAATATATTTGAATGTGAACTTCTGGTTCATTCTCCTTGAAATCCTTTTGAGCTTCTTGAATTTGGCATATATATATATATTTTTTTCATATTTGGTAAGTGTAGGGCCATTGTTTCTTCAAATAAGCACTCTGCCCCTTTCTCACTTTCTATCCTTCTGGAATTCTCATAATATTCATATTGGTCTATCATATTGTCCCATAAGTTCCTTAGGCTATTTTACTTCATTCTTTTCAAATTTTTTTGTCTTGACTCAGTAATTTTCAGCCACCAGTTTTGAATTCACTGATTCTTCTTGATCAAATCTGCTGTTGATTCCCTCTAGTGAATTTTTCARTTCAGTTATTATATTCTTCAGTTCTAGAATTTATGTTTGGTTCTTTTTAAAGTTTTTCTTTGTTGAATTCTTATTTAGTTCTTGCATCATTTTCCTGATTCATTTAGTTGTTCATCCATATTTTTGTTTAATACCAAGTTTCTTTTAAGATTATTATTTTGAATTCTTTTTAAAAAAAGATTTATGAATTACCTAAGAGTTGGTTCATTGATACTGTTTTCCTTTGATTGGGCCACATTCTCTGTTTCTTCATATGCCTTTTTATTTTTTGTCATGATTTGCGCATTTGAGAGAATAG